CAGACCATCTCCCCATGTTGATCGTGAAAGCAGCACATTTCTGGCCATCTCGCCAAGTTGATCTGAAAGCACCACATTTCGCGCCATCACGTTGAATCTAAGAAGGCACGGCTCAACCGTGGTGGTTGCACAATTAGTTTATGATCTCGTTCATGTATACTTTCATCTTAATTGGTGATTTGGTGTACTCAGTCACATGGATGGTTTTTTTTTTGAGAGAATCACATGGATGGTTGGTGCCACTATCCCTCTGCCTATCTCTTACTCATGACGCGATCCACAGCTAACCACCATGGCACCATCGATATAATCATATTCTATCGATTACATGCAACAAAGTTGGTAAATGGCAGTGTCAGTGTTTAGCCATAAATTAGCCTAGTGACACCAAGTAAACAAATCTCATATACTCCCTCTGATCCATACTTGTCGCTGCTTTAGTACAACTTTAGCAGCGACAAACAATATGGACAGGAGGTTTGTACTAAAGCAGCGACAAGTAATATGTAAATATAAATCGGAGGTTTGTTTGTACTAAATCAGCAACAAGTAATATAGATAGGAAGCAGTACATCTTTTTGCAGATTCCATGCCCAATGGACAAATAAGTAATACAAACAAATTTTTGAACAAAGGATGAATTTTATTGACTCAAAATGAAGCATCAAGTGGATACACACACAGTGAGCACACACATCCAGCCTCTGAATAGGTAGGATGCACATAGCCAACACCAACGCACACACACAAAACCCCGCTGGCAAATAGCAAAGTCATATAAGACCAAAACTATGCCTAAATGAGAGAAAAAAAAACATCAAATCAAACAAATCTGTGATCGACAATATACAACAACAACCGTATCCGCACCAACCATCTCATGACACCATAAGGACAATGAGGTTCCTCAACAACAATGACTTCATGAAGGGAGCGACACTCTATGCCGTTGTCATCGGATCCAACCATCAAAGGTCAGATTCTAGGGTTTCACCCTGAAGAATCAGTCTGAGCTTATCCGAGCAATGCCTTCAACAAGGTCACGATGCAAAGCATCGCCATTGCCGTGTATGAATAACTTGTGTCAGACCTAGGTTTTCACACCGGAGCTCAAGACCAGGTACCTTAGAAGCACCACCATCGGAGTCAATCATATGTTGTCGCCACCACTTTTCTGCGATCCAAGCAACTGCGTGTGATGGGCTAGAAAACCGACCTCCACCACTGCACAACCTTACCCTCTGCATCAAGACGTCGTCCATATACTGCATCTCACCGTCAAAGGCAACCACCGATCTAAGAGGAGAAATCCTCGCGAAGATCTTTCAGTGGCCATTGCGATCCGGGATAGTCCACCACACCAAACCGTGCAGCACATCACCGTCGATTGCCACCTTGCCGAAGAGAGTTCTGTCCAAGCCATCAACCTAGGGGCCGACATGGCGGGATCCGAAGCCGGAAAGCAGAACTGTCTGGCAGCCAAGACCCAGGACGCCGCATCACGCATGACAGCAACACCCATGGTCCCTTGGCCTAACTCCACCGAGACGTGGCCAGGCCCAATGCCTAGTAGCAAGCAGACGGATCTGGTCATCACGTCGAACATGCCTCCGCCCCCGCCACAGCCTCACAGTCGTGCCGCCGGTGACCGCTGCTGCACCCCGCGCGAGGACGCCGAGAGCAGCCACCGGTCGCCTGGACCCGGATGAGTCCCGACACACGCCGACGCGCCGTCGGAGCTGCTGCCCTACAGGCTGGAGGCCGCCGCCGTCGGCCATGCGGGCTTCACCCGGCGGCGTCCTCCGGCGGCGGCGCGGCGACTAGAGGAGAAAGGTGCGGCGGCGGCGCTAGGTGAACGGTAGCGCCTGAGTCGCCTGGGGCTGAGTTAATTGCACAGAAGTATCACAATTGGGGCATCACATGCAGATTGGTATCACAATTGCTAATTTTTACGTGTCAGTAGCAGCATTGCTCCAGACTTTTGTAAAAAGGTCTAAACCGTGTATAAACACGTATTGACGGTGTATCTGACTGGCGGGGGACACCTGTCAGGCGCCGACGTGGCAAATTTTTTTATAGAAAACCCCCTTACTTTGCACGTAATCACATAAACGCCCAATTATTTTGCGGGAAAGAGGCTCCGATGAGAGATTTTTTTCGTTTGCAATATTACAACACTGAATCGGACTTTTTTTGAAGTTTTCGTTACGTTGGACAAAGAAATTAAATAAACGAAAAAGAAGCGCCGACAGGAGTGCGACGTGAGATGCAGACGCTGGGCGTGCTAGCCACCACGAGACAGCAACTGCTGTGTCGTCAATGTCCAGGCGTTGCCTTATTTATACAGACCCGAATGCGAAGGGCCGGCAGTTAGGCCCAGCTAGGCCTGTTACTTTTTTTTTGGGTTCGCGTTCGGCTCGTTCGTTGCCAAGCTTTCTTTTCATTTCATTTCTCTTATGTTTTACTTTTGTTTCACCACGCATTATGTACATTTTCAACAAATATTTTAAAAGAATTGAATATGCATTTAAAATATGTTCAGCGTATATTACAAAATTTTAATATATTAAATAAATGTTCACAATTTGTGAAGAAAAGTTCATCGTGCATTAAAAATGATCACTATACGCAGAAAAAGTGCTCGGCGTACATTAAAAAAATGTTCATGCTCATTTGAAAACATGTTCATCATATAATGGAGCCTATCTTAAAAAATGTTCAGTAAGTATGTTAAAAATCCAGAAGAAAAATAGCCCAATGAATTAAAAAATAAGGAGGAATAGAAATAAAAAACAAAGGAAGAAAAACCTAAAAATAAGCTAAAACCAGAAACAAAAGTTTTTTTTAGGAAAAACCAGCCATTCATTATGTACAATGTTCAACATATATTTTAAAAAAATTGAATATGCATTTAAAATATGTTCAATGTATATTACAAAAAATTAATATATTAAATAAATGTTCAGAATTTGTGAAAAAAAGTTCATCGTGCATTAAAAATGATCACTATGCGCAGAAAAACTGCTCGGCGTACATTAAAAAAATGTTCATGCTCATTTGAAAACATGTTCATCATATAATTGAGCCTATCTTAAAAAATGTTCAGTAAGTATGTTAAAAATCCAGAAGGAAAACCAACCCAATGAATTAAAAAATAAGGAGAAAAAGAAATAAAAACCTAAAAATAAGCCAAAACCAGAAACAAAACTTTTTTTAGGAAAAATCAGAAACAAAAGTAAAACATAAACGAAACCTGGGAAACGAACGAGCCAAACGCGAAACAAAATAAAAATAGCAGGCCTACCTGGACCTAACCGCCGGCCCTTCGCATTTAAGTATGTATAAATAGGACAACGCCTGGGCACTAACACAGTGGTGGTTGTGTCGTGTTGGCTAGCGCGACCAGCTTGTCAGCCGCGCGTTGCAGGTTCGAATCCTGCTGTCGCGTCTTTTTCGTTTTATTTAATTATAATGTCTTTGTCCAACGTAACGGAAACTTTCAAAAAAGTCCGATTTGGTGTTGTAATATTGCGAACGAACTTTAAAAAATGTCTGATTTGATGTTGTAATATTGCGAACGAAAAAAATTTCTCACCGGAGCCTTTTTCCCGCAAAATAATTGGGCGTTCATGTGATTACGTGCAAAGTAAGGGGTTTTTCTGTAAAAGAAAAATGCCACATCGGTGCTTGACAGGTGGCTTTTGCAAAAGTCTAGAGCAATGCTGGTACTGACACGCAAAAATTAGCAATCATGGTATCAATCTGCATGTGATGCCTCAATTGTGGTACTTCTGTGCAATTAACTCTTCAGGGCTAGGCGATGCGGGGCTTTTTTTTTTGGTACTACAAACAAATGGCTTATAGATGCAGTCATGCAGATGCAGGGAAGTTCACTAAAAAGAAGTTACATAAATTAAGGGAGCGATCGTCTCTTGAGAGACATGAGTGTGCCAAAGATACTGACGAGCACACCAATGGCGGAGAAGAAGGCGATGATGATCCTCAAGTTCTTGTAAACGAAGGCGTGCAACCGGGTCCGCGTCCGCCTCTTCGCTTTGTAATTATGGATCTCTTCCATAGTGAGGAGGTAGCCAGACCCAGCAGGCAGGCCGTGGAGCCCAGTGAGAAAGTCGAGGGCGTCCTTGTTGGCGAGCCCTCCTCCTCCCAGCAAGAGACGCTTCCTTCGTAGCTCTTGCACGTCCTCCTCCCGGTCCACGAACATTGAAAGGAGGAGGAGGTATGAGCAGACAACAGACTCCTTATCGTCGACCGCTTGGAAGTTCGGGGTGGTGCATACCTCGAAGGCTGCCATGTTGACAAGCCAGCTCGCGCGTACATGGTCCAGGGGCATCGGTGCCAGGAAGAGCTCGGCGAAGAGGGTACCTTTGTTCCTGACTCCCATCTCTATGAGCTCACCCGTCTTGTTAGCCGTCAGTGCGATGCCAATTTCTGCGAGCTCGATGGCGCTCACAGGGATCCCCATCGACCCAGTTTGGGGTAGGGAGTTGCGCTTGGTGTTGCTTCTCCCTACAATGTAGAACCGGAGAAGGCCGAGGAGGTGCGGTGGCTCGTAGCTATCGTCAAGGACCAAAGACTTCTCGGTTAATTTGCGATCTTGCAGGCCGTCTTTCAATGAGGTGATGAACTCCTCCAAGGACACGGGCCTGAACCCCATGACGGTCTTGACCACCCGCCATGGGAGCTGGTTCTCCAGCAGGATGATGTCGTGGAAGATGTTGCCGTTGTTGTCATCGAAGTAGTTGCGCATCGACGGATCCATCTCGGAGCCATTGGTGGTGCAAGTCAGCATGTACTGCACCAAGAAGCACGCGTCATAGAACATCATGGGCAGGAAGTCATCGTCGCCCATACCGGCCACCATGTCCGTGTCGTAGAGCCTACGGGCTTCGTCGGTGACCGAGGCCACCGCGGCGTACATTTCCTGGATGGAGCGGCCCGACTCCATGATGCAGTGGTAGGCGGCCACATGCTTCACCTTCTCTGCCGGCCTGAGGCGGCCCTTCCTGTGGTGGTAAGGCCCGATGGCCACCGTCGTCGGGGTTGTGTAGTAGCCGCCGAGACGTTGAATGCTTGCAGGGTACCTGTGGATCTTCATGTTCTTCATGTCGATGTCGACCTTGAACTCGTGTGCTGCTTCCGCGAACACTTGGATCGGGTCGTGGATCTTCATTTCTGTCTTGTATTGTGCTTCTTCTTCTTCATCATCTTCCTGGATAGCTAAATTTGGTGTTGTGGCTGCCGTGTACTGAACCTGCTGCAGCTGCCCTCTGCTAGAGCTGCTAGGAACATGTGTTTGGAAGCACATTGCAGAATCGGCAGGGTAGCCAGGAATCCACAAAGGTTCAATGGACCAGTCGGACGGAAAGCCGCAGGGTGGCCATGCAGCAGCTGGTGGTTCCATGCTTCTCCCTGTCAAATTGGCCATGAACGTCGTAAAGCACCTGTGAAGAGATCATAGGGAGGAGTGAAAAAAAATTCTATGAAGAGATTATAGAGAAAAATTAGCTAGCATCGATCAGGGTACAGCCCTAGTATCAGTGCATGAATGGGAGAAACGAAAACCGGCCTAGTGGGAAGCAGAGAGACGGTAAAAGACAAGGACTGAAGAAGACAAAGAAGAAGAAGACTGTCATGGGAGAGGCCTAGCCTGGGAAGAAGAAGAAGCACAGCCTTGTCTCTCCTCTTATAGATGGAGTATTGAGTATTGACCAACCAGCCATGTCCATCTGGCTTTTGTTTTATTCACTCAAGGTTGGCCACATGCCCACATCCACATACTAACATACATACATTTCCACCTGCCACAAGTGCATACGTATACCAATGAATTAGACCTCTCACCCGAAGATCACCGCGTGTAGTACTGGTTTGCCTCTCGTCTTGTGTATCTCCCCTTATACTTTCTTTATCCTGAGCTCTTTCCGAAGTGTTGATAGATTGTAGTACTATGAGTTTTCGACCCGGAATTACTTGTCACATAAATGGATAAAATAGATGTATTTAATAAGTCTAGGTACATCCATTTCTAGTGATTGTAATCGTCACTAAATGGTCTACGGACTTGGATGTAATTTTTACCTCTAGTGTTTTTTGTATTGCCTTGACAGTTGATGAATAGATCGAAAATTTTCGCACCAAAAAAAAGCGGAGGATGTTCATGAATTTCTTTAGATAGCCATGATTTGGACACGGTGGCTCTTTTGCTTGCGGAGATGGACGGTAGAAACAAGCAAAAGCATGCAGGTTCTAAACGGGGCGTGTGAGGATCCACAAAAGATGTAGAAGGCCATGGCCACATTATGCATAATTACTTTGCAGAGTGCCCTGCATACCCGAGTATCTCTTCGGGAAATACTTCCAAGAAGAGAAATTGGCGTGAAAATGGTGCTCATATTCACAAACAGATAAGCACGTGTGAGTTGGTTGCATTATTTAATTTGATGTGGAGGTAAAAACATAAAAATTTAAACCAGTGCTCCCTTGGTTTGTTTTTATTCCGCATATAAAATTTGTTTGAAGTCAAACTACAAAAAGTTTCGTCCAAATTTATATTAAAATTTCTCAACATCTACAATTCTAATGTTATATATTACTCCCTCCGTCCCAAAATAAGTGTCTCAAGCTTAGTACAACTTTGTACTTAAGTCAGTACAAAGTTGAGATATTTATTTTGGGACGGAGGGAGTATGAAATTTAATTTCGTGATGCATCGAAAGATATTGATTTCGTATTGTGGATGTTGATGTTTTTTCCTATAAAGTTGATCAAAGTTTATAAAGGTTGACTTCAGACAAATTTTATGTACAGACTAAAAGGAAATGGACGGGGTACTATGGCATAAAAATGGATTAAAATGGGCTTCATATCCACACAAAAAATATATAAAATAGAACTATAGAAAGTAAAAAAAATATAGAAACTACAATTATAGAGAATCTTACTAGAGTAGAGCACCCTAAAAAAATTAAGGATTGCCCGTAAACTGGTTTTAGCGACACCCATTATGAGAACTAGTCATCAACCCGTGGATCTGCACGGGCTAGTTTTTTAAAATGTTCACAGTTACAATACTTTTCATGACCTTTTTTCTTTGCATCCAGCAAAAATATAAATTTGTTGTGTGTGAACCATTAAATGAATGATGAATACGAAAACAGAAAAAATTATATCCTAAAAGTTTACAATCTTGATAAAATATTTACATTTTATTTTACAACAAACAGAAAAAATAAAAATCCTAATTATAGAGATCCCGAAACATAATCCAAATGTCCATAAATTACTTCACTTTTAATGACAGTACTAAAAATTTAATAATTTATTTAGTTAATATTAATCATTTTTTGATTTGGGAGTCCAGCTTAATCATGGGTTATTTTGCATTATGCTTAGGCTCGTCAAATGAAATAAGCATTTCATAACAACAGTGTACCACCCTATAGTTTAATGACAAACTTACTCTACAAACAGCGAAAATCGAACCAAATACGAAAGAAGCAATCATAAGTGTAATACTTCCTACATTCCCCTTTTATCCGGGCGCCACCCATGGAGTAGTCTTTCCACCGTGTGTTAACTCTCGTCGTGGTAGCAAATGATGGGTCCAAGTCTTCACGCAGTATTGTCCGCTTGTTTGCTCAAGACAGAGTACTCCATTAGTTGGCACCGCTCTTATATTTGTGTGTGATATTTTAGCAATTAACATATATAGTTCTTCCACCCGTGTGTTCGCAAGGTTAAATCTATGGAAAAAGGACTCAAATGTTCACTATTGTACCATAAAAGCAAGTCCCATGAATGTAGCAAATATTTAACTTACTGGTGCTTGGTGCTAGGCATATTAGCGTTAGGAAAGTAGATGTACAGATTGAACATTTGACTGTGGAAGAAAATGAATTTTCTTATTTATTCTTATTGAATTCTAAATATACTCCTAGTTTGGAGATCTGTTTTCAGTAATGCCCATAATTTTGGAAAATCTATTTCGTAACCTTGTATTTTGGAAATATTTTACAAAATATGACACAAATTGTTTTATTTTGCCACATACATATTTATAACATAAATACTCTTTTATATGTAATGTGATATTTATTATATAATTTTTAAATGACACATAACTAACTACTTATTATTTTCAAATCACAAATTTTAAATGATATGATAACTTACATGTTAAGAACTCTATTTCGGGATATTATAATTAAAAAAGTTTTGAGCAAATCATGCACCTTAATGTATTTGGTATCTACACATTTGTCGCATACATAGCCTTTTTTATTTTTAATGTAATTCATAAAATATGTAATTATTTACAACTTAGTAGTGTTCTAAACGCTCTTATATTTCTTTACGGAGGGAGTACATTCTATTACACAGGTTGGACTTATATAGGTTAGAAAAAAATTAAATCTATGTTGCCAAACCTACCGAATAGCATTCCGCCGCACATTGGAAATCTGGCATTTATTAGTAATGAGTATGAATCACTTCGGGATAAATTCACTCTACATCGTGATTATCTCCCGTTCTTAAAATTTGGAATCTTACCGCATTACATGGAATTTTTTATAAACTCAGTATATACAGTTATGTTTTTTTTAAACATAAGTTACTTAGTTTAACCTGGAGTACTATATAGTAATTTTCAATAGTAAATCTAGCCTATTTCAACTCGGTCATTTTAAACAGTAAATCTAGCATGGTTCAACTCGGCCATTATATTTGACTTAGTTAAGACATAAGTTAGTTCTAACTTTTGAACAATCGTTAGAAATCTACACATGTATAGGTCAAGTAGGACATACATATGTGAAATTCCGTAAAATAATATGATAATTGTTCACTCAGAAAAAATAATGTGACTTATTATATGTACTTACTATAATTTAAATACTTTTTGATGGCATGTTCCCGTTGCATAGTGTCGCTTACTGCACAATATCTTAATTTGTTAATTTTCTCGGATAGAAAAATATCGTATTTCTTCGTATGTATATGCATGTCTATATATGTTTCACACACATGAATTTTTTTATATTTAAAAAAATGATTTCGCCTGAGTTACATCCATGCATGCTAATTTCCTTGTCTATCATTGGAGTTTAGGTGTATGCATGTACGTGCTTGACTAAGCTTTGCACATATATAGGTATCGGTCAAATCATACACATGAATGTACATCACTCTATTCTACTATTAAGTGATTCGTTGAGCACCTCGTCAAAGAAACAAACCTTTCAGATCAACTTGTGATTTTATTTTTACATTATTTTCCTTTTGAGAATATTTGCCTTGTTGTTCTAAAATATTGGAATAGTTGCAAATATCAAGATCGTGATATTTTGATTGACAATAACATAGTGACTTACCGGAAGACCAAAGCAGATTTCTAGTGCGAAGGTTGTGCCACCTCTTGATTGTTTCCTCCATGAGCAAGCGCTTCTTTAAACGGTCATGGGGACGGAACATGATGGGCCGGCGAGCCGCAAACATCAGAAATGTCTGAAAAAGAATCAAATGGGCATGATGCATAAATCTGGAAAGGAAGAAGAATATGCACAGCTCAAAACCATGGATGCCGTCGGTGCCGTGCATCGCTCCAACCTCCAAGATCAATCAGTGTACGCGTGCATCGTGTATGTACGCATCTGGCCGCCGGAATTTGCTTGTCCTGCCTCACGCTAGCTTCATCCCCGTTCATTTGTCAGGAGCAAAAACACCGGCCAGCAGCACAAATCGAGGGCCAGCTTTGGCCACCTCCATAACGCTGATACGAAAGTCCTCGATGACTTGCATCGGAGGATCTCCAGGCCAGGGAATGCACCAATTAATGCTTCTTGCCGTGTCTCGTTTATTTTTCGAATCATTGGGAGATAGAGACCCAGCATAGGACGACTCCCATGCGTGGGACAACCGAGGGAATTTTTTTTCCAGTGCCAGGCTTCCTGAACGGTTACACATATATTATACACTTCTTCTTCGGTACAACCCCCTAAACACATCAACGGTTCAGATCGTCCTATACCCCTTCATGTAAAAACTTAAAAAAGGGTATGATGGTCATTCCCCCCAGCCCCGCTCCCGCGACGTACCCGCGCGCGAGGCGACGGATTTTTTTTTTACACTCGCGCAAGGACGGCGTATTTTTGTACAATGGGACGACGTACGTACGCGCCCGTCGGTGGTCAAACAGCGTCGGTGGTCGCCCGAAAAAAAAACATCATCGGTGGTCAATGCGCGACGCGTCGCCCGCGGAAAATGCGTCGTGGCGCGTGGATAGCGGCCCCG